GAAGAAGAAGAAGAAGAAGAAGAAGAAGAAGAAGAAGAAGAAGAAGAAGAAGAAGAAGAAGAAGAAGAAGAAGAAGAAGAAGAAGAAGAAGATCCTATTTCTGGAAATGCAATACATAATTAAAGAAAAAGATTGCATTTCTTAAAACTGAGGAGTACAAATTATTTATAAAATAAGTGTAAAACAGTCAATATTCTTTAAAAAAGTATTTGTATTATAAACTAAATTAACTTCATTATCTCTAAATAAAAGGTCATATACACTATGTGTAAGTGCTAATAATGAGATATTAAGTTTGAAACCAAATCATAAAGAGTTGAAAAATACAGCCTAAATAAATAAAATCACTAGGAGAAAAAAAGCTTAAATATGACATAAGGTCAAGAAATAAATACTTTTATAAACCAGCAAATATTTATTTGGCACTTAACATTACTTTTATCTAGATTTTGCTGATAGTCTTAACTGAAAAATTAATTTACTGATTCAAAAATTGCTGTGAGTGTTTTTAATTTAAATAAATCATGCTTCTCTGTATAAGTGTTTAACATTTAAATATGTTAAGCAATAATTGTTTAGTTTTGCAAAATACCAAAATTTCTATTAACGAGTTATATAAGATATGATTGAAGAAATCTGAATGCATCACTTGACTTTGATAAAGAAGCTAAAGCAAGCAAGGATTGGAAAATGAAGACAGCAAGAAGCTGAGCATACTGGAACAGTTAGAAACAGTAAACTGACTTGTGGGCATGGGTATGTGAAACTCTCTAGGCTAGACCTTCCATAGTGCAATTGTTACTATCCCAGCTCTTATATCCATTAAAATGGATATACAAAATAAGGAAGCTGAATTTTTGAGATGTTATATACTGGATATAAAGTGCAAACGTTAAAGTAGGATTAAAATCATTACACTTAGATTATTCTAAGACCTTTAATTCATTTTAAACTGTGGAAATAGACTCAAAATTGCCAGCTTAACAACTATGTTTGTCCTTTATGTAGGATGATCTTGACAAAATTTAGTTTTGAAAAAATACATATTCTCTGACATCTATATCTTTATATAAAGTAAACTGCACTGAGAATGGAGTTAAATTTTCCACAGTAATTTCACAAGAAAATAATGGAGTGAATTTCATTCTTCTGCAATTTTTTTACTCTTTAACTAACACCTACATAAAGTCGGGCAGGTTTCTAACAATCTATGTGTGGAAGAGTTGTAATTCTTTTATAGTTATATAAATATAGAGTTATAGTTTATAGTTATATTAAAGAAAGCACTGATCAGTAAGAATAAAGATATGTGCATAGAATGAGAAAGCAGCTGGAAAAGTCTTGCAGGGTTTGCCTTGTTCACATTATACATTCAAACTCATCTAATGCACTGCAGGTAGGGGAGAGGCATTGAGTTATTTTGTAAAGATTTCTGATAATTCTACTGTGAACTTTGGAATGTTTTTTTTATTTCTAAGGTCTTGGAATTGGGAACATGTTCTATGTTTTTTATGAAGATGGAATCAAAGTGATACAACCCGTAGAATGTGAATTTCAAAGGCACATTAAGCCTAGTGAAAAGCTCCTTGGATTTCAAGTAAGTATCTGAAAACTTCCCTTGCAATTCTGTATAACAATTTTGTTAAGTTGAATTGCATTTTGGAAGTATAATAAAATATATACATCTATGAAGTTTGTGTTGGAATTAAAAAAACATTAAATCTATGATAACGGTTGTTACTTCATGAAAGTGTTATAACTGAAGGAAAAGTTAAATGACATTGTGCTTTCTAACTATGTATTTATACTAAAATGAATTTGATGGAAGTGAATATTGAAGGACAAACAGAAGGTGCAATAAATATTTCTTAGTGATTTTAATTTAAAATAACATAATTGGGCTGGGAAGGTGGCTCAGTGGTAGAGCGCTTGCCTTGCAAGCATGAGGCCCTGGGTTCGATTCCTCAGCACTACATAAGCAAAAAGAAAAAAGCTGGAAGTGGCGCTGTGACTCAAATGGTAGAGTGCTAGCCTTGAGCTGAAGAGCTGAGGGACCAGTGTCCAGGCCCAGAGTTCAGACTCCACGACCGGACCCCCCCCAAAAAAAAATAAATAAAATAACATAATTTATAGATATCACAATGAAATTAAAAACAATTATATGTAAATAACTTTGGAAGTTGTGTATATTGGATGATTTATTATATCCTCTTCTTATTCTTTTTGAATGGATTGGAAGATTTCAATTTACATTGGAAAAATATAAATTCCTGTATTTATTTGGTTTAACTCAGTTTTATCATAAAGATTTTCATGTGTGTTACTTGGATATCAAATTTAGAATAGCACAATTTTCTGATATATTTACATAGTCGTGATGATCTATGAATCTTTGTGTTGCTATGATTATCTGTCTACAGCTACAATTGGACATATCTGCATCTAAATATATAATATTAAAATGACTTATGTGATCATGAAGTCCTACTCAAGTTCAGACATACACTCACATCCTAAATGAGAGTACATATAAGGAAGTGTTAATGAATCCTTTCTGGAAACTCATATTTAAAATATAATAGCTATGGAATATGACACAAAAGAAAAATGTTTAATGTAATACTTTAGATCTGTTATTGTCAGTTCCTCTTTCCTGCCTGGTGGTGGCCAGTGCTGCTGTTTATGCACTTGTTTCTATCTAGAATGCAAGTCCTAGAATAAATGGAGGAAAGTCATTAGAGAGTAAGGAAGGTAAACCAGATGCCTTCAGGACATTCTGTGAGACAAACCCATCCTTGTGTTTTCTTGTTCAAACACAGCATTTAATTCACTATATCCATTATTGCATACAGTAAATGAAATCACTTTTATTTCCATTTATATACTTCAACTATGGTTAAGTAAACTTATTTTCTGGTATAGAAACATTTAAATTGTATATACCATTTTGTCTTGATTTTAAAGCTTTAGGAAAAATAAATCAATTTTTCATAAGGTATTTCATATTCACCTATTTGTGTAACAAACATGAGTAAAATCATAAACATGGCTTACCCTTTATAATAAGTAGAAAAGATTGCACAAGTCATCTTAGTGTTAGTTAGGGAAGTTTCACATTCTCTGATAATAGCTAAAGCATGTCTAGCCATCACAAAATTACTGGCTCTGTAGAACCTGAAACACTCTTCTGTAAAATGATTTTGCTGTGAATTAAATAAACATTTGATGTCATTCTTTTATATTTACAATTTGCCTAGATTCACTTAATGTATTTTCATGAAAACATGAATGAGGTATAAAATTAATTGTCTTACTCTTATCAGGAAGCCATGTTTATGATTATATAGCCTCAAGTGTCTATTAAGGTAAGATCACGTGTTTAGAACTTTTGTTGGAGTTCAAAAGGAAAGTTGAGTTTCTAGTATAAACAATAACAAGCTAGTTTATCTGATCTAGGAAGATAAACTTATTGAGTACTAGTAGTAGAAATGAGTCATTAGGGGTTTATTTCCCATGGAAAAGATTGAAGAGTAGCATTTTTTTCAAATATACTGTCTGCATTAAGACATTAAGATGCAATTCTCAGCCTAACTTTCTGATCAGCAAATTTTAGTTAAACCACTGGTAAACAGGGCTGGGAAGGTGGCTCAGTGGTAGAGTGCTTGCCTTGCATTCATGAGGCCCTGGGTTTGATTCCTCAGCACCACATAACAGAAAAAGCCAGAAGTGGGCACTGTGGCTCAAGTGGTAGAGTGCTCACCTTGAGCTGAAGAGCTGAAGCACAGTGCCCAGGCCCAGAGTTCTAGTCCCATGGCCAACAAAAAAAAAAGCCAAAAAACAAAAAGACCCACTGGTAAACTTGGAATCTTTATTACGTCTCTCAGAAGATACTGTTTGCTTGCTCTAAATTTTAGTTTGGGTTGTGTCAGATTGGGTTAAGATTTAAACTTTTAAAAGTTACTGGCTGAGGGTTCATATAGCCAGCTTTTACATCCTCTTCTATCTCCATTTCCTATTATAACCTGAAAGTTGTACTACTGCTTTTAACTCTAATGGAAACAATTCTGAACTGTAGACCTGAACTAAGTGTGGAGTGTACAAAAAGTCTAATATGAATTCATGGCCTTACATTTGCTAGGTTGGTGCTCTATGACTTCAGCAGTAACCCAAACCTCTTTTTTTTTTGGTTAACTTTCAAAGAGGGTCTCATTCTTCTTACCTAGGTAGACCTTGTAATTCAATTCTTCTGTTCATATTAAGCTATAATCACAGTGTATGTTACTATACCCAGCTTGTTTTTGATAGCTTTTCTTTTGCCCAGGCCAGCCTAGAATTGTGATCCTCTTGCCTTCACCTTCCATGTGGTTGTTATTATAGGCCTGTGCTATCTTTCCATCTCCATTGTGTAATTTTTATAGAAATCTGAATATTTTTTAATCACCCATGTTGTACCCAATATATGGAACCAGAATGTTGTAATACTGGTTTTAACACCAAGTAGTACAACACCAAAGTTCAGAAACAATTATGAACTTTAGAACTCAACTAAGTATTCTCTGTGCAAGAAGTCTGATATGAATCTCTAAAATATCTGTATTCTATCTGGGGAATTTCAAAATTTAAATGTAGATTTCCTGTGTAAACAGAGTATTAATGCTCTTCAAGAATAGTTTTCTACATGTAAATGGATTGTTCCTACTGTACAGAATACTAAGGTATTGAGATATTGATTCACTCAAATCCATTTTCTTTTATTTTTGTTGTGTTTTTGCTAGGTAGGACTTTTGTTACAATTTTCCCAGTTATACATAGGATTTCATAGGCAATCAGTTCCCCTTACTTCTGCAATGCATCCTTAACATTACTTAACAACAAGTCAAATTTCCGTGTTCAATATTTATTCTTTTTCTAATATAATTATTACATTTCAAAGCATGGTCCACAAAACCATTGGTTAAAGCACCAGATCTTCTATTGGATGTGGACAATCCATTTCCTTACAGATCCATTGAGCAAACTTTTGAATCCACACTCTGTATATTGGGGAAAACATGAGCATATTTTCCCGAATATTTTCTCACCTATTCTTCCTCTGTGAATAGAGATGCAAACATGGCTTTGCTTATAGTAAGAGAGGGATGAAAATGTAAGCCTTTATCCCTCTCTGTTTGCAGTGATATCCTGCCAAGAGTTTCCTAAAGAGAGTAATGTAAGCTATTCTAAGTATTTTTTTAAAAGCTATTCTGTAGATTTCAAAAGAAATAAATTTATGAACTTGGTCTGTGAAGTCCTAGATTTCAAGAGGCCTTCTAATGTTTCATTAAAATTCATACTGTTTTACAATTCTCAGGTTGTGTCTCTTTTAGAATTCAGCATGTGAGCTTAGAATTAAGCAGTAGGTCAAGGCAAAGTCTGTAAAGTGTATGACTGCATTAGTATGGAATGACATAGTGACCTCTTAATTAGGTCCAGTGTTGGTATCTAAAACAACAAATGAAGATGTCTCCTAAAGATTATTGATAAAACAGCCACATTTTTAGATGAATGTGACCAAAAGTCAATCCAATATATTTTTTAATGAATAAGAACCCACTTACACACACATAAAATTTCATTCTACACATATTACAAATAACAAAGTCATTTGTATTTTACTGGTGTTGGTATTCAAGCATTAACATAGGTAAGTAAGAATTTAAAACTGTTGATTTTCTATGCATTAACAATGAACATGCCAAGGAAGAAATTAGAAAAGCAATCTCATTTATATTAGCCTCATGATAGTGAAGTAAGTAAGGCTCAAAAAGAGAAGTAACATATGATTCCAATCATGTGTTCAAAATGAAAAGTTGATCTCATGTAACTCAAAAAGTGCCCAGTTTTCGGATGCCCCCTCACAGACCACCAGAGAACACAATCAATGCAAACAGCAGAGTCGTTTATTGCAAGCTCAAGCTTGGTCCTCCACACACTCGGTAACTGATGAAGCTAAGAGGCCCCGAGCATAGAATCAGCACAGCTTTTATATTATTAAACAAGTTCACAAGTTCAGTGAATTTCCACACAAGCAAGTTCACAAGTTTAGGGAGCTTAAGTCCACCCTGACCACACTTCCCTTTTTCTGATGGAACACGTAGGCAGCTGTTCTGTTCCTTAAGGCTGGGCAGGGTTGACAGCAACCTGCGGTTTTTCTGAGGACTATTTTTCTCTTTGGGGGTTACTCTGAGGGCAGCACAGCTCAGGAGGTTTGATCTTAAAATGGAGTTACTTTAGCTCTTCACAGTCTCCGGAGAGCAGACTCGAGGTGCAGATCTAACTTTATTACGTAGTGCACAAGCTTATGTACAGCACAGCATTTAATCAGAAGTATTCTGATGCTTGCAAAACTCTCAGCAAATAGGCAGGCCTTTTAATGCAACCTTTAGCCAATGTCATGCATACACACACTCTTTCTGAGGTTAGAGGATTTGGAGGGGCAGGACTTCCATGGGTCTCTTCCACAGGGAGAAAGCAACCAACACCCTTCGTCCCTGATCACATTGGCCTCACTGGTGTGCCCAGGGGCGTGTGTTTCCGGCCATGTGCAGCCTGCACTAA